GATACGTTTTGCGGTTTTAAATTAGGTTTAGATTTTCGAGTTGCTCGTTTCTCGATCAGAAAAATTAGCTGGCGCCCGGCAACCTTTCGGTAGGTCCCGATTTAAGTTAAGTTGAAAATCGGCGAGGAGGCCAGAGGGAGGAAGGGCGAAGGTGATGGGCATTTTCGGTCGGTTGGAAAATGTCACGTCACAAACTGTTTTGATAAAGCGATGACCATAAAAGAATCTATTAAACTAGAGTTACGGTGATGGAGAGAAAATATATCATATAGTGTTCACTATATAAAAGACGGTTCTTCTGCTATGAACATTTATACCGATGCATCTAAATCATGCTGGGGAGCATGCACTGATGATAAAAGAGTTTACGGTTTCTGGTCGAAAGAAGAACAAGCAATGCATATTAACTTTTTAGAATTATTAACAGTAAAGTTAGCTTTAACAGAATTAGCTTCAGAAATTGAGAATGGCAAAATATTATTGCAGATAGATAACAGTACGGCTATTGCTTACATAAATAAGACAGGTGGCACAAAATTTCAGAAATACAATAAATTAGCTCGCGAAATTTGACAGTGGGCAGAAATTGGAAAGATAATCATAATTGCTTCTTATATTCCATCCACAGAGCATAACATTGCCGATAGTTTGTCTAGAATCAAGAATGTAGATACTGAATGGGAGTTGAATAATGTCTATTACAAAGAAATCACCAGAATTTTTGGTGAACCTGAAATTGACTTATTCGACTTATATGACTTATGACTTATAAATTAAATACTAAATGCGAAAAATTTGTTTCATGGATACCAGAGAGTGAATCTCTCTTTATTGATGCATTTATTATGAACTGGGCTAATTTTTATTTTTACGCTTTCTCTCCGTTTTCGCTAGTTTTAAAGACTTTAGCGAAAATACGGCGAGAAAAAGCGTATGGTGTCATAGTGGTACCTTTTTGGCGAAATCAGCCTTGGTTTCCACGTTTTGAAAAAATAGCAATAGGCAAGCCGCTGGGTTTTGATCCTAATACAAGATTACTCATTTCTCCATGCAGGAAATTACCGCACCCCAGAGCAAACCATCTGAGTTTCATTGCGAGTAGAATATCCGGGAGCCTTTTTTAACAAAGAAGGTTCCTAATGAAACGTTGGACATGGTTCTAGCTTCTTTAAGTAAATCCACACTAAAAGAATATGGTAGTGCTCTAAAGCAATGGGATCAGTTTTGCAAAAGGAAGGATAGAAATTGCTTAGATGTAAATGCTAACGCAGTTTTAAGTTTTTTATATGGAAGATTTGAAGCGGGAGCGTCTTATGGTATGCTTAATTCATGCCGAAGCGCAATTTATTACTGTCAAAGAAAAAGATTGGTGAAAATGCAATCATTTGTCGTTTTTTAAAATGTGTTTATAAGATTAGACCTTGCCACCCCAAGTATTCCTCAACATGGGACGTAGCGATAGTTCCAGGTTTTTCATAAAATTTAGATATATCTACTTTAGAAAATTTAACGTATAAGACCATAATGCTCTTAGCTCTGAGTACGGCTCAAAGAGCACAAACATTATCAAAAATTAGTATTGATTTCATAAGAGAATTGCCTGATGGGATTGAAATAAAAATCCCTGATGTTCTGAAAACCTCAGGCTCAGGGCATAATCAGCCATGTTTAAGATTGCCAAAGTTTAATGATAAGCGTTTGTTATGTGTTACTTCAGTAATCAAATTATATTTAGATAGGACAAGTTCCTTAAGAAAAGAGGGCAAACAATTATTTAGTTCTTATAAGAAACCTCATGCAGCAGTGAGTACACGTATAACTAGTAGATGGGTCAAGAAATGCTTATTCTTAAGTGGAATCGATACCACGATATTGTCTGCCCATTCTACAAGACATGCGTCAACGTCAAAAGCTGCCGAAAAGGGTGTCGATTTTGATACCATTCGTAGAACTGCAGGTTGGTCTGCAGGTTCTCAAACGTTTGCCCGTTTTTACCAAAGACCTGTTAATTCAGGTGATATTAACTTTACTCGTTCTGTGTTTGGAAGAAATTAAATTTAAAAAAAAAGTTAATTTACTCTAAACAACTACAGTTGTAATGTAGGAGAGCGAGGACGAAATATAATTGGATGATCAAACTAACTTACCTGTAAGTGACGTTCGATCCTAGTTATATGAAATCCTCGCTCGAGTACATTACACCCATCCGGAAAAGAAATTATGACCTTTCCCCTCCCATATAAATGTAGGTTTTTGGTGGAGCTCTAAAAATTGAAGTCTCCGCGCGAGGAGAAGTGGGGGTCTAAATTCTCGAAATTCGCGTGTGCTGCCTTGTCGACAGAAGGCACACTGCAGTTGTAATGTACTCGAGCGAGGACTTCATATAATTAGGATCGAACATCACTTACAGGTAAGTTAGTTCGGTCATCCAACTCTGGGAAACTGAGGGGATTGAGAATTGAAAAAGAAAAGTCGATTTTTTGGAAAATTGGAAGAATTTTGCAACCTGAAATTCAGGAAAGAAAATTGGAGTAGAAAGGGCAAGAACATTATTGATTTGCGAACGTGTTGAACTTATGCTCTAATCTTTAAAAAATTGTGCCCTGGACACTGAGCAACGAGCAATACAAGATTAACATAGGATAAATTAATTTTCTAAACGTTCAAATGCCTTACTCTCAAGTAATTATGTATAATGATTTCATGACACGTTAGCACCATTATACCAAATGACTTTACGTAGTGGGTAACATAAAAAAATTGTGCTGGTGTATGTCGTCAAAGTTATATCTCTGATTTTTTTCTACGATTGACGGAACCTTGAAGTAATTTTCACGGAAATTTTGTAACCACCGCAATTCTAACGTTGAAAATAATTACGGAAAAATATTTTCCAATGCATTACGAAAAAGTTCACTTTACTCATTGTGAATTTGAGATTTCCTTGATCTTTGTATTCAAATCACGTTATTAATTGGATTAAGTATGATATCATGAATGATTTAAGACAATAATAGTGGAGGAGAAACCTTCGTCGATAGTTTGTTTATTGAGCTACGATACAACTTTACCCAATAATAGAACAAAACCATTTAATTAGTTGCCATTATCACAACAATAAGCTCCTCTAACTATTGTATTATCTTGGAAGCAAGTTGTTCCATAGAAACATTAGTCTTAACGAGTGAGCCACTGTATTTATAGCTAAGCTGCATTATCGATGCAAGAGCTTCGGTGATGTTTCTTTTAAAATTACTATAAATTTTACAGTTTAGTTAACGCAGCTGAAGAAAGTGATTATGATGTATAAGATATAAGCGATATTCGAACATTTATTTTGATTCTGTGATTTTATTCAGTCCGCTTACCTATTTTGCAGTAACTCTTGGATTAGAGTTGTCCGTTGCGAACTAACGTGTTTTTCTGTGGTTCCAAACCAGAATCGATTCTAGTTGCTGGTCATGGGTCGTGCGGTACGCATCACCATGGAGACATTACGGTGACTCTTGTTTTCTTTAGTATTGCGCAAATATGCATTTAAGGGAGGCATCGAATCTATAATACTAATGTAAATACGTTATGAAAATATTATTACTATATTTTTCTGCAATAATTAACGTATATTATTACAGCGAATTGTCTGCAGTTCCATATTCAATCACAAGATCATCTCTATAATTACTTGTATTATCCTTCATTCTACTAAATGGGTTATATGAAACTAATCTTGCATAAATAATTTCTTCATTAATCGAAATGATCTTGCAATACCGTCAGTCTCGCACTTATTGAACGATGAAGGATAACCCATCAGGAAATTACGAATAATTTAGATTTTTCCTGACGGAAATATCGCTTCATAGTTTAAACGTTATCCCTAGTACCATCCCAACTGAAGAATGCACATTTTTTTAGTGAAATCCCTACAAATTCAATAAATTTTAAAGAAAATACATGAGAGCCTTAGTATCCTAGTTCATGCACGGCCAAAATCGACATGACGATGTTCTTGTACACTGTGGACCCAGTTTATAGACAGAGTGAATCGAAGCAAGAAGACTCAGGGAAATGAACGAAATCTAAATTAACACGTATATTAACAATAGTTTTTATTATACAAGCTATAACTCAGTTGAATAGCACGAATTGTACGTGAAATATAAATTTTAGCTCAACCCCCTCTCGATATTTCTATGGAACAAATTTTTTGGGGAGGGCTGGGGGTTTCCTTATCGTTACCATCTTCTTTATTTACATTCAACACTTCCTTTTTTATTTGTCTTGCCCAAGTGGGTTTTTGACGTTGAATTGTCTTTTTCAGCTTTCTCTTCATTCCTCTATTCTTGGCAAAGACTGTTGGGCTCATTTTCTTACCCTTAGCAGCCTCGTTCGGTTTTTTCACTTCTATGTTCTCTTCCCTCTTTACGGCACGAGCTTTTTTCCTTATTTCCATCTCCTGAGCCTTCATTTTACGTCTTACTAGTCGTTGAGCCTTTTTCCTCTCAACGATTCCTTTTTATTATATCTTTTTTTCTAGTTTACGTCTATGGAAACTGTTCCAAGTGTCACCTATTACCCTACTAGAAATTAAAGTAGGTGAACTTTTGGCCCTAATAAGGCACGCCGAATATAATGTTCGGTGCGAATTTGAACGTACAAATTCGCCCTTAATTCAGTGCGTTACGCGTTTATTATGTTCGGGCCGAATGTTCTTCGCCGTATTTGCACCGTATTCGGCAAATATATAAGGGGCTAAATCGGAAAATATATGAGGGACTAAATCGGTAAATACATGAGGAGCCAATTCGGCAAACAAATCAAGTTCTAATTCGGCCAATATGTAAGGCCCTAATCCCGAAAATACCTAAGGCCCTTATTCGGCTATGCAGTGGCTGAACAGCAGGAAAAAACTAGAATGGATTTTCATTACTGATAAAAAATACTTTATTTATTTTGTTTACAGTTTTGTTGCCTTTCTAAGGCAGTATGGCGAACTTTAAGAATTATTTTCGTTAATATTTTTCCGTTAAACTTTCAAAACGTGAACCCAAACAATATTTATTTACTTTTTTGACCTGTTTTAGAGGATCACTGTTATTGCTCACCATCTTCCAGAAAAGATCTATCACTCACATTTAGTTCGTTAATATTTAGTTGCTTAACCTTTTTCCCTCGCCGGGAACTGGACGTTCCAATCTCCTGTGTGGTTTAGGACACCTTTCAATCCTTCATGGTATTTGGCAAGAGCGAAGGGCTCCTTCATGTTGCCAATTTTATGTGAGAGCACAGCTACATAAAGAATATTAATTAATTAACTCAGGCAATAATCAATACAAATAAATTACTCATTTAAGTATATAAATCAACATACCGTAGATGCAGGAATACAGTTTAAGATCCTTAAAGACTTGTTTACCATTCATTTTCTTCAAAGGCGTTATTTTATTTCCCACATCCTGGGAGATTATCTTGCGACTGACTTCACCCAAGTTTCGAGAAATTGAACGATCTTTATTCAGACATCCAGACATCTTTGCGTACTGTCAAATGAATATTTCAATATTTTAAATTTATCTAATAATGAAATCATTTACACTTCCATAGCAATACATAAAAACTCATCATTTTCCTCCTATACTGTTTGTCATCTTTCAACTTTTTGTCAAACGCTTGTAATTCTACCATTGTCTTACATGGCAGTGTAAATCCATCTTGTTCTGCATCTCCTTCAGATTCTAGCTCAATTGTGTCCACTAATTGACCCGTTTTAAAAATATTTCTGAAATATGCGACTTCATTTTTCAGTTCCACGATTTGTCCTTTAAGACGATCAATCTTGCGCCCAATATTGCGCACATCTAGGAAACCGTTGATCACAATGTCTCTCAAGGTACCATCTAATAAAAAAACAGAAATTTGAATAAAAGTCAACAGAGACTTCAATTTCATAAAAAATCGGAACATTGATGTAACTTTTTTCAATACACTTCGAAGATTTTTGGCAAAAATTTAATATAATCTCCATTAAATATTTTAGTTTTGATAACAATACATTATTTGAAATGGATAAATTTATGTTACAATTCGATTTTTGATATGTAATAATTTTTTTGTCAATTTCAATTCCTGCATATATCACTAGTTCACGACTTGAAATGTTTAGTTGAACATTTTTTGAATTGATTCATAATTTCTCTCGAAGGATTCTAAAGTGGAGGATTAGAATTGCTGGAAAGAATCAAATTACATGTGAGCATTATTATGAAAAAATTCTCGTTCCACTTTTTCCAGTCACTTATAGTATTTTTTCGAGTTAAATTTTGTTTGATTTTTATATCTCAACTTCATGACGGACGCTCTGGAAAAATTTGATGTCTAAAATATCAGTCATCATTATCATTAAATCAAATCAACAACACAATTGATGAAAATGTTCGTTTTAAATTGATCAAATTGAAACTATCATTTTAAATGATAAGTTCCAACTAGGAACATGAGAAAAAAAGTCAATAAAACTTACCCTCACAATCTAATATATTTTCTCTGCCAAGTCCAATATTTTTTTTCGATAAAACTGACGATCTAAATGGTTCAATTATGCCGCTAGCCGAATGCAGATTACCAGTCATGTTGCATAAGATTTCAGGCGATTTGCGAGATTCAGAATTTTTTTCAGCTGCAAGTGAACTCCTGACATCATTTACTGGTACTCGCCGCTTACCATTTCCTGAGCGCTTACGAAAAATTTTGGAATTATTAGGAGACGAGGAGGAGGAGTTCGTCGAAGCATTGTGACTTAGTTCTGCTCGCCGAATTTTCTTTTTTGATGTCCTCAAAACTATTTCCGATTTCTCTGCTGCCTTGTATGGAGTTGATGTAATAATCTCGGCTGTCACACCATTCGATTCTCCCACAATATTTGTATCTGCCAATTTCTTATCAACTGATTCTTTGGTTTTCTCCCAATCCGAGTGATCAATCGTACGTGGCTTTTTCTTTAGCTTTTCTACGGAGGGCTTGGAGAGTAGAGTTGTGCCTGAAGGACTTGCAGAGCATTCCAAAGCCCGTTTCAGGACTTTTCGTTTTTGATCATGTTTAGGAGATATAGAAAATGTTGTGGTGCTTCCCTCCAGAGATGACACCGATTTTTCTAAATCTTTGGATTGTGTTTTTGTAAGGAAGGTATCGTCCGAGGACGAATTTGTCAAGTTAGAATCAGTGAGAATTAGCTGGTTTGCTGTTAGTTTACCAGTAGAGTTCACGCCAGACATCGACGATTCCCGATGTGATGAAGACAGTGGCGTTTTTAGCTCACACTTTCCGCTCTCAAATAAGTTGTCCAAGTTTTTAGAGCAACTTTCCACGACTTGACGTTTGTAAATATCTCGTTCAACCAATGCCTTCTCCTTAGGAGACACTTCACTATCTGTAGTGAATACGAAACTTTGCTTACCAAGGCGTTTCAGTTTCTCGTCAAGCTCTCTGTAATGATCTTGAATAAAAAATGAATTTTATCAATAAAACAAACACAAAAAGATTACACAAAAACTTTCAGTGTCTACTTCATTTTTCAATAAATTTTCTGGGGGAAAACCGTCTGAATATCGAAAAAAAATCATTTATCCGAAAGACCAATTAAAATCTCAATTGAAAAGGTAAGAACAGGTAAAGTTACTTAGCTCTATCATGAGTTTTTAGAAAATATATACGAAAGTAATGGGGATAATTAAATTGCTGTCAAAGCCTTTTTGAATTCAATAATTGAGAACAGAACAAAGATTGATCTAAAAATTCCGCTATTTCTCCAAGTTTCACAGAGATTTCTTGAAAATGTCGAGGAGTTAAGTCTGGTAATCTTTTTTTACAATTTCACTACGTGAAATCATTGTAATAAAAATATTATATATTTGAATGAGAAGATGTTGAAAATACATTTACCAGCTATTCCACGAATTTCTACTTCATGTATTGGCCACGACTTGTCTGGATCTGCACATGCCTTTATCATGGCAATCACTTCTTTGTATTTTTTTTCATCTTTTAACTCATTTTCTGGATAATACGAAAAGAGTTTGTCGAGATTTGGATCATTAAAAATCCATGAAGAGGGCAAACCATCGATACTTTTTAAACGTCCTTTATCCCGTGGGAAAACCACACACTTATATTTTGATGTTTTCGTTAGAGCCATGAATATATCGAGTATAAAATTGTATCGAATTCATATACTGTTCATAAACTTTCTGAAAAGAAATGGAATGCAGTAGAAAAATAAACGATCAGAATGATACGAATATTGGAGGTTATGTGGATGTTGGAGACAGTTTGTCAATTTTTTCCACGTGCTAAAGGACCTCTCAATAATTGAATGCACTATAAAATCAATCTGATGACCTTTTTTTATACACTTATTCAAGCTAAAGATATTGGAGATTTTCTGAATGGAGAGTGGACGAACTGTCTTCATACTGAATATCTGCTGATTGAAATCGAAACATACTTGGTTTTTTTTTAACGAATACTAATCATTTATGTTTATTAGTTGCTGAATAAGTGGTCGACTTGTATTAATAATTAAATTGCATTATATTGGAGGTCAAAATGTCGTGCAAAACGGGTAATCACTATCGAATAAATGTACCGAAGTGGGGGCACAAGATGCCGGCGAAAGAAGCCGTGGAACGTTTTGATGCCATTTTGGTCTCACGACTTATTGTTCTAGAAGGTTTAGGAAATTTTTGTTTTCTAAGCGAGATGATTTAATACCATGAATAATAATTAGAACAGAATCGAACGAATAGGAACAGATGAGATATTGTTCATTGCTTCAGTCGGAAATCATTTCAGGATTACGAAAGCCGTTATTAGCCGTTTATCGTCCATTGAATCTATCACCTCCGAAAGTCTCTGTTCAACGTCCGCGGAAGAGAGTCCATGAATCTGACTATGAAAATTCCCAGGAGTTTTGGAAAAGGAGACCATCCCAAAGCAAAAAAGGAAGGAGCACTTATCAACCAGGGACAATACTGAAGAAAGTCGTAGCCGGAGTCGGTGGTGCAAAGGAATTTAAAATTCAATAACAATCGTACAACATTGAATCCTGACTATTATCGTTGTTCAAGTGGGACAAAATTCTTTTTTGTGGCCTCAATCAGGGCTATTCACGTTGATATGAAGAATGTTATGATACTTACTGATGATTACATCACCATATTCGACAAAGAATGGATTACGAACAGTATTATCGATTATAGGACAGCAGTATTAATGAAATCCAAAAGAGAAGACAACACAGTTTACGTTTCGTTTGAGGTGAGTGGATATTTCATGGAGGGAATAGTAGTGAATCGAGAACCAGTGCTCCCCGAATTTTATAATCACTTCCGTAGTTCTTGGAATAACCACTCCAAAGTTATCCTCCCTTTCAGCGTCAACAATAATCATTGGACGTTGCAGTATGTTGATTGTGTAAAATTTGTAGTTTATTAGATCGATCCAAGTAGTAGTACAGCAAGCCCGTCGGTCAATGGACGTTTCAATAATTTCATTGTCGCTTATCGAAAGGTAAATCTACATTTCATTAGAAGATACCCTTCCGTAACGTGGAGCAAAATGAGTTGACGAATGATTAATTTGCAGGTTTTTCCTACATCAACGATGAAATGGTCTCTGAATATTCCGCCTCATCCTCCACAACGTGATGGATACAATTGCGGGGTTTTCGTAATTCATTACATTGAATAAATTCTCCCGGGAAGACTCCTACACATCAGTCACTTCGATCCTGCCGAAAAACGTGAAGACATTAAACGGGGTATCTTGGTAAAGTCTGTCGATGTAAGTGAACTTTGTCTATACTGCGAAAGAGATGAATCAATGATGAGAACTCAAATCTGAGTACAACGTGTGAAGTGTGAAAGGTGGGCCGAATTGTCTTGCCTTACGAACCAGAAGATCAAAAAAGAAAACCTGAACGATCCAAATTTTATCTCCATTTGTGACCTTTGCGAAAAATGGTTCTCTTTGTGCCAGAACTGAATCTGGAAATGTCGAGAATGAAGTCAAAATTTCATGACTGAAACAAGAGGAATTAATAAGTTTAATTTATTAATTACTAAGTTTTCATTTATAGCTATTATATTAGAATCATCACTTTCTACCTTGCTTCAATATTGCGATTATTTTTTAAATTTACAAGTTGATGATGGTGTTGCGGCCTACGGGCGGCTGGACGATCGGTTATTTTCTCAAGAGGGTGACCCCCAAAACTGAATTGACCGCGACCAGTTACGTCTAAACGGAGGCCAAAGTTAAATGGGCTCGTATTGTGTGGGATAAAACACTGAAGTGTACCATGCTAGGTTACGCAGGAATTCTGATTAGTGAGAGAATCGCGCAGAGATAGAGAGGAAAACTTTCTATTGATTAATTTAGGACTATTTATTGGGGTACTAAAATACAGGATTGTTACAGCAATCCAAGATAAAACCGCTCAATTTTGATGGGAGAGATAGGTAACACTGAGGTGAAGGAAGGATTACAATTGATTCAAGACTTACAGTTGATGATAAACAGGGAAGTAGAAGGTGTGCACGATCACTCAGTCGCGCTGCGGTGGACTCGGCGGTTTCCTCAAAAGTTGAAGGGGTAGAACTCGGTGATTTCTCGAAGATGAGACGATTCTCGGGGTGTGAAGATGAGGTCGACGAACTCGGAGATTCGTTGCGATAATCTAGGTGTTCCGGTCGTTCACCTGGCAGGTGAGAAGGTGTCGAACCGGAGGTTCGGGCGGTGCAATAAAAGATCCCAATTTTCCGTCGGACCAGGGGTGGCGGCTCGGCTTCTCGTGGACTTCAGATGTCGGATCACTTTTGATGGTTCACTCAACTCTCACTCACTAACAAAACAAATATTTTGGTGTATTTTGGTTACACTCCTTTGAGGCTGCACTGTGTCAATAGGTCTGTCGGCAGGTACTTGTTACTCCGTGCAAGCGTTGGCCTTTAACCCGTGATAAATGAGTCCAGGGGAGTCCTCGTTGTCAATTTAACTTCTTCTCGTTTACGCAGCTCCGGCGTGGCAATTTCTGAAGTGGATTGGCTCAACTAGTCCGCAATAAAATCACGCGACTCAGGCGTAATTGTGGATGAAGACGGTCTCGTCTTGTAAGTATGACTCTGCTTCCCCCAAGGGTAACTTGGCTGATGCAGGTGAGAACTAGCGATGAGCTAACTTGAAGAATCAACGAGACTTGACGAAATCGTTTGAAATCGAAGTAATAGTCGTCTGATGCCAAGTCCAGTGCTGAAGTGCTCCCAAAAGGTATGAAGTATCAAATATGATGTCTGAAGTGTCTGGAGTGCCTGAAGTGACTTTTTCGGGTCAGCGCGGGTGCATATATGCCTTCGGTGGAGGTCATCCCCCACCTAGGTCCATGACCGTTATTTTTTCAGAGGGATTAATTACTCATCACGGCGTCCGTATCTGAAAATTCGGGAGTTCGTTGTTTCATTTCGAGAGCCGGAAAACCGTTAATTGTTACAATTTCGGCTCGCGGCTGTGTTCTTCTTCTTCCCGACTCATACGACGGTTCTGTCTATCCACGGGATCTCATTAATTTCGGTTCCATCGAGAGAGAGAGAGAGAGAGAGATCGCACTTCCTGTTGTCCACCTGAGGGTTTGGAGGCCCTCTCGGAAGCGGGGGTTGCATCTAAAGTCGGGCTCCCCATCTCTGTTTCGCGGCTTCTGTGGCGGCGGTTGATCGTCATAGACTTCTCATTAACCCGACATCTTTTACCTTCCGGATTATTGGGGAGTCGAGTGGCCTCGTGCCGTTTCCAGATCTTAGCCTGGGGGCCAGGGGGGAGTACACTCTTGCGCACGAGGAGCATGAGTCATACTCCGCCTGTTGGCAGCTGTTCCCCAAAACCGTTGCATAATTACAAGATTACGAGAATCATCAAGAAAAAAAAACCGCGAGATCCGCGGAAAAACCGCGGGATCCGCGACAATGGTATCGATAAGTAATGTAAAACTCTGATTAAACATAGTTTAAGACTTCTATCAATTTAAATAATGCAATTAATATATTCAAAAATAAAAAAGACTGATTAAGTTGGTGATGATGACTTTGAATTTTATTTTAAAAACAAAATAACAACGGAAAAATTGAAACTCACGTGAAAATTGTGGTAAATCAAAGTCCAGGAAGTGATTCTTTTCCATATAGTATAAATTTTGCACACGGTATCCGGCGTTAAAGATATATTTTAACACTTTTTACGTGAATAAGAATCCGAAAAATGCTATCAAAATACGGCACGGGAATTACTTCTTAAAACTTAGAATTTAAGAGATGTTTCATTCGTATTCGATAATGTTACTTGTAGTTATCCTCTTAATTATTTCTTTCAGATCGAACGTGTGCCGGAGACCTGCGAGATAAGTTTAGCGCCTGCACTCGGAGGTGCATATGGTGTCATTGTTTATTCATTCAATTGTGTCAATTGCTTTATTATATCTAAATGTTGTTGTGGCTTTTGAATACCATTGATCAGATACATGTGAGTCTGCGACATATGTTTAATGGGTAATTCAAGGTTTCAAGTATAAATTAATTCTTGTTTTTACTTCTTCCCTCATTTAATTTTTACATCGCAATTAACGGCCACGTTCAGAATAAACAATAACCAAATTTCTAAAACACTTGAAACAGGAAAACATTTCAGCAATAAATTCATGAATATGCAGAAGATGGCCGAACGCGATACAGACTAGTTGAATCACACAACACCAAGTCCATTAATTCGCGATTCACGACATACTCAAGAATTATAAAAAATAAAACATTGAGTCAAAAACCGGCCTAATACAACAGTGAACTGGGGAAATATCAACGCGACTCTCCTCCGGCCGCAACAACCCCCAAAAAACTCGCAAACCACAGGACCACCTGGAAATAAGGTTAGAACTAAGACCGCCAGCGGGACGGACAACCCAAAAACAGGCCCAGCATAGGGACAATGAAGACCTCCACCCCAATAAGACAGAAGTCGAATGCAAAGCAAGCTACCCCAAAGAACGGCACCCCGGTGTTAAAAAAGGCAAGAAGTAGGCCACCCGGAAGTAAAAACAAACCCAAGAAAGATAAAAAAAGTTAGCAAATCGCTGAAGATAGACGACTACAGCATGGACAAGGACGAGATAATTCAATCGGGCGCTGGCCTCGCTGGGGACCATGGCAACTCACCTATCCGAGGAAGACGATGAAGAGAACGTGGACGGCCCAAAAAAATGGAAAAACTCCTGGAACATGAGTCGCATGCCGACTCCGGGTCCTCGGAAGATTCCTGCACGGATGCGTTTGACCAGATAATCTTGTCAAATCTGAATGAGCTGGAGAGAGGAAGGAGAGACCAAGACTCTCAGTCTCCCAAGAATCTCAACTTGGAAACGGACAGAGATGGGGACCAGGTGGAAACACGTCAAAGCGGCTAGCCGCCAGGGTTACCGAAAGAACTGCATGAGGATCTTCAAACGGAAAAAAACAAGAAAACTGAGCCAGTCAACACTCAAACGGAACCAATGGGCCAGTGCCAGTGTCAGACAAATGCAGATAAAATGGAAGAAAGACTAAACGAGAGGCTGGACAACGGATTACGGTGGGTTTTCGACCAACTCATGCTGGAACTAAAGGTAGGGGCCCAAACCCTGTGCCTGGAAAGTCAGGGCCTAAGTAACCAGCTGAGCTTGATCGAAACAGCCATGAGCAGGCTGGTATCACATCAAGTATCGATGGCCAACGAGCCAGCTTCAATTAATCGTAGACAGAAGGAAAACATTCTTCCTGAAATATTAGCTATCCAGGAAACGCATCTTGAAAGGAAGGATGAAATGAAAATACTGAACACTCTAGATACGAACTTCGCTTGGGTGACACAGCCGGCGGTCACGATTAACAGAAAAGGCAAAACCCCGCGGGGGAGGGGGGGGGGGGGGGGGGTCTAGGTGATAACGTACTGGCAGTGAGGAAGACTTGTAGTAGCTCCCTATCACTGAGCAACTGGGAGTTTGGAACGAGAATGAAAGGGGTCAAAACGCGCGAAGGAGTGGGGCTAGAAATAATTACCGTTTTTAATAACAAAAAGATAGAAGAGGCAACAGTAATTTCCCGGGTGGGTTCTGACCCTGAGCCTGAAATTACAGATTAGTAGAAACAACGGCCAACAATCGACAGAAACTGACGCAGACGACGAGGGCGCTTGGTCTGGGACGAGGGAAAACTTGAGAGCTACTAGGAAGCGATTACCTACAAACTCTCGAGCAAAGAGCAGCAGGAAGACCCCAGAGAAGCCTGGAGGAAATTGAAGGAAACAATATGGGAGGCAGCCCGGGAGTGTGGCATCGTCAAAGGTGTGAGAAACATAGAGGCTAGAGCGGCGGTATGGGTGGGCGCTGAATTCAAAACCCAGCGAAAGATAACCTTCACGGCCCTGAAAAGCTACCACCACGACAAATTCAACCCACGCCACAGGGAAGACTGGATAAAGCAGCGAAATAATTCAAAAAAGCTGAGGAACGAAAAAGTCACTGCATTCAATGCAAAAAGATGCGCTAGTGCTTGGTAGAGGCTAGCAAAAACATGCAGGAGCTGTGGAGCGCGCTGAACGTATTGCGTCCGAAGAAAACGAGACTGATAAACAAAATATGTGACGAAGATTGGATAACCCAATACAGGAAGCTGCTAAACTCAACCACCAGGCCGGATGATACAACGGTGAGACCCGAAGCGCCAACTCAAGCCACGAGTGAACCCAATACGCAACCCAGGAGCACCCCCATATCTGGCGATCGAGACGAATGGTGGAATCAGGCGATATCACGAGAAGAGGTTACGAAAGCCTTAACACATATGAAGAACAATAAGGCACTGGAGGAAGATGGTATTTCAGTGAAGTTTCTGAAAGTACTTCCAGGAGAAGGGAAATCAGAGCTACATTGGATAGTGAACGCTCTGTTGTGTCAAGCGCACCTAGCGGAGGGGTAGGAAACCGCACACATCTTCGCAATATTCAAAGCAGGAGAGCCACACAAGGCTTCCAACTATCGTGGAATCTCGCTTCTAGACCTGGGATACAAGCTCTTAACTAAAATAATGGCCAAAAGACTCGCCAAATGGGCAGAGGAGAATGGGAAGCTGGGAGAAAGTCACGCGAGATTCCGGGAGAAGTGCCGCATTAGGGATCACATTTTCGCTCTGCACACCCTGATAGGGTCACGTCTGAGAACGACAGGCCAGAAACTGTATGTGGCGTTCATTAACTTCAGAGCTGCCTTTGATCTAATCTACCGAAAACTAATGATCGAGAAGCTGGAGAGAATGGGCCTAAAAGGGAGGCTTTTGCATATGATTGAGCGAATCTATGGAGATACCAGGACCAAGGTCATTACACCCAGAGGGGTGACCAAAAACTTTACTTCCGACTGCGGAGTCAGACAGAGGTGTCCACTTAGCCCAGCGCTGGTGTGTCACTTCATAGAAGAGGTAGACAAGGCCTTCGAGAGGAAGCAAATAGGTGGCACGATGCTGAGCGGGTGAGGATCACGAATCTGAAATTCGCAGACGAAGTGGCCATAGTTGCAGAGGAGGCGAAGTAACTAACCTTAATGCTACGGGTAGTAGAGAACTACGCCACGGAAAACCACATCCAAATAAACGAAACTAAGACAAAAATAATGGTTTTTAGAAATGGAGAAAAACTGGTTAGGAACGAGACCTGGGAAGTCAATGCAATGAAACTAGACATGGCGAAAGAATTCAAGTACCTTCTGGTTCTGGTTGGATTCTGGTTTTCCACGCGTGGAATCTCCGGAGCACACACTAAGAAGCTAGCTCAGAAAGTGAAACTGGCCACCAACAGCGCATGGGGATTACTGAAACCTGCAAAAATCAACACCTACATAGAAGACTCTACGTCCTGGACGTAATAGGCGAGCCAGGATGCTTGTACGAAATAGAACTATGGGGCCGGGCCCATAGTGAGACCATGCAGAAAATGCAAAACAGGTATCAGGAAGGCAGGACGGCGCAGCATAATGATCGAGGGCTTAATGAGAGCGTAGAGATACCTGATCGACACTTTAGGTATGGGGACTGAGAGATGGCCCAGAGAGGCTCTCAGAGAGGAAATGAGGTGCATCCTCAATACATACCCCACAAAACTAGCAATCAAGATACAGCCCACACTGCAGTCAGTCGGAGATAGAATCACCCTAGCCAACATCTGGGCAGGACGAGACAGAGTATAGATAACGTCATAACCTTGTAACGGGATTTTTGGAAATCCCGCACATTAAACTACAATTATGGAGTTAAGTTCTCTAAAATTCTCCGATCTCGACCCTCTCCCGGGAATTACTCGAATCGTCGAGGGTTGTGGGGACTGGGGCCCGAGTGCTTAGGGTGTTGGGAGGCCTGAGGACCGGCAACAGCACAGGGCGGACACGTGGAAACATTCCCAGCTCCCCTATGAGACTTCCTGGCATTCAGCATAGGACTCATACTGGCGTATGAGCGCTCCACGTTAGATGGGGTAGGCATTCGAACGGCTGATCCTTCGAAGGGGTTGTTCGAAGGGGTCAGTAGCGACGTTCGAATTCGGCGCGCTCCAGGAGAAGCTATTGTCAGGGATATCCTCCCTGAGGGGAGGGCAGCACGCCCCGGCACACGGCAGCTCAACCAGCCGTAGGCGAGAGTGGGGGGCATCGGCAATACTGCCAGACTGCCCACTCACTCGGCAGAGCCGCTTCGGCTGGCTCCCAGTGCGGACCACTGCCAGCTCTCTCTCGAGCCCTTGGCAGGCTCCCAATGCCCTGCATTGGTCTCCCTCGCTCTCTCTGGGTAAGGTTTATTCTCTCCCTGGTGACGCTCTCTAAGTTGGAGCAATACTCTCCTCGGGTGGTGTCCTCTAGGTGAGAGTCATATTCCCCCAGGTGATGTTCTCTGGGTGAGGGCCACCCTCTTCCTGGATGAGCTCTCTATATTTGAGCTACCCTAGTGGGCCCGCCACGCTCTCGATAGTGCGAAATCGGGTGAGCCAATCCTCACGCTCTCGGCCTACCGGCACTCCGCTATCTTCTGTCGCGCTCTCGGCGAGGTAGTTCTAGAGGTCGCCCTCCACGCCTCGGATTGCCGCAAGTATGCTCTCGGTGTCCCGAGGCTAGTCTCGTTACTCTCTTTGTTTTATGGTTCGGTTATTGGACTCGCATATCTGTGGACCCCGGCCCTCTGTCCACGACCTAGCATCCTGAGCGACCTTCAGCCAGAGCGGGCCTTCCCGCTTCCGTTCTCTTCGTCGTCGGCTTTAGCCTCTCGCGGGTAGTTTTACGGTCACATCCTGGCCGGTGTCATTCATGGTTTTTGGATTTATGGATTTAGCATTTTGTGTTGCCGCAAGGACGAGTTCCAACCCCCCTCGTCCTGTTCCTTCGTGCTCTTGTTTTCGGGTTTAGGATACCTCTCGGGATTTGTGAGTTCTATTGGCCTCGGGTGAGGCAGGGCGCCCCCAC